TGGGAACTACCAAAACATAATGACAATCAATAAAACCATGTTTAATTTTTTGTGTATAATATATATCAACATTAAATAGTGGTGTGTAGTTAATTCATTTTTTTGGAGTGAAGATATGGGAAATAGGAATGGTTTTGTTTTTAATGAAAGGAGGGTACTTTTGGTTTTACCACATTAAATGGGACCTAATGGGATAATAAAAAATAATTTGGGTTTCATTGTATAAAAATGTTAAAAATGGGATTTATGAAAGAAGTTTCCCACCTCATACCCTTCTTAGTAAGAATGGCAACAGGACGGGACGGGGCGGGGCCGGGGATCACACTCCCCGTCCCCGATCCCCGATGGTAAAAAATTCCCCGGTGTAACACGTCCGCGAGGGACCCCGCTACAGTTCGGACTCGATTTGTGTCACGGTTCTTAATCTGAACCAAAGAGTCCAAATCTGGCAAATCGTTTTGAGAAAATAGATTTTTAGAAAAAGAAGTGCCAAATATGGAATGCTTTGCCAGATACAGAGTCACCACCTAAATATTTTATTTTGGGGGAATTTAGGAAACCCTGACTCGGTGCCAAAGGCCACGTGTCCGTCATCACCAAAGTTGCCTCGGCTCGGGAACTTGGGTACGATTGGGGAAGGTCAGCTATGAGCACCCCCTCTCGCCTGATCCGAAGATCGGCCTCTACTAACCGTGATATCTTGTTTTGAAAGCATTATGTGCTCTTATTCCAGTTATTAGCCTAGAATTACTATGTTATGCGCACAACACAAAAGTATAGACTAGATTGCCTAATTTCGGAATAAGCATTGCATATCCGTTTGTTTTGGAAAAAATGTTTTGGAATTTGCTACTCGCGAGTAGGCTAAAACGCGAATTTCAATGAGCTATTCCAACTCAGACAATCCAACCTTCACCCACAGCCATTCAAGCAGTTATATCACATAAGCAACTAGCCTCATGGTAATCATGCTATCATGGCAACACTCACACGCATGCAAGGATGCTAAAGCATAAATACTTACATCGTACTCCGTGCCAAAACAAAGAACTCGTTAGCAATCAATGCATGATCCAAGTCCATGTTTAAATGTCTAATGCAACGCATACGGAATGTCACTAGAGCAGGCTCGGCTAGTCTATGAATGACATGTGAAAATGCACAAGTAGCATGTATTCAAGTCAGATTTGAAAATACTAATGCAGTTAGCATGATGCGCCGAGCCCGGTGCATGCAAGACAAATGTACGATGAATGATGCACGCATGCATAGCATAAGGTGTGCTAAATTAAACATGACCTATTACTAACCATCAAAGCAGGTAAGTAAAAGGGAGAAAGAAGTGGGGGTTGGAAGACATGCACCACACTCACCCACACTTATTACAAATTCACCTCGCTCGGAGGGACCAAAAGAATAATACAATTCGAATAATGAATTAACTATCCTAGCTAATTAATTATTACAGACCAACTAAATTAATTAAACAAATTAATTAATTTGAGAAAGCAAGAAGAAGGGCCTCGGGAAAGGGGCTCAATGCACGCGTGCTCGGGTCTTGTCTCGGAAGTCCACTGCCATGCGTAGGCTGCCTCTGTTTCCTGCTCTGCCCCTCTGAAAACTGCCAAAGTTCTCAGAATTGTGCTCCTTGGATAGTGTTTTGGGGAATGCCACCGGGGGAATCATCTAATCGGCTGTATTTGGGTTGTCGATCGGCCGAAAATGAATCCATCGGCCACAGATGGATTGCCGGTCGGCACTCTGTGCAGTCGATCGGCAAAAAGAGTCCTGCAGAATCTGTTTGACAGTAAGCAGAGGACAGGGCTTTGTCATGCAATGCAATTCAAGCAATGTTATGTTACCGACCATATCCCTTATCATGTTTATGACTCAAAGGGCATGGTCCTTGGTTCTCGGACCATCAATGCGCATTTTCAATGCGTGATAAGCCCAAGAGACCAAGTTGTGCATTTTTCATTTCAAATGTAATGCAATGCACATAGTCAAACCAAGGGGCTTCTACCTCTATCATGACTCACTTCAAGAGGTGAGGCAATACATGCACAATGCAATGCACTAGGCATGCGAGCTAAGGAATGCAACATGGGCAATGCAATGTGTACATGCGAGTATGCAAGCAAATATGCAAGGTAAGCATGCAAACAAGCAAAGGATGGACTTAAGGCATGATTTAGCAGCCCTTACTAGGCCTAAAACAGTGGCCAAGGTGCTTAAAAATGAAGGACTAATAGCACAAATAAACATTCATGCAAATGATCTCCAACACTTCAAGCATTAAGGAGCAATTCTCAAGCACACTCAAGAGGATCAAACATGGACATATAGCATGCATTAAGCTCTAAAATCATGTTACAAAGATGATGCCAAATCAATTTAAACAAACAAGCAAAACATTGCCACAATGCCCAGTGCTTAGACAAGCCATGAGGCTTAAAACCAAGGTCAAGTCCACACAACCTTCACAAGGCAAGGGGACTTAAAACAAGTCAAATGCAGACTTAAAAAAAGCCAATGGTGCACTTAGATGGCATCTAAGGGTCCTAAAAGTGCAAGCATACTCCGAGGCCTAAACAAGGGCATAAGGTAACAACCTTAAACACATTGAAGGAGGATTAAATGCAAGCATATAAGCATGTCATAAAGGCTGAGATATACATGTTAAGAGGGTTCCAAACCATTGAATGATACAAAGCAAGGCATGCTGTACACTACTGTATTTTTTTTAT